GTTTCAGCGGCGTTCGTGGGCAAGGGCCGGAGCCGGAGCCCGGGGCCGTGGCCGGGACCGGGGCCGTTGCAGGGGCAGGGGCAGCAGTAGCAGCCGTAGTGCGAGCGAGTGGGGCCGGGGGGCGGGGGTAGCGCGCGGCAGCGCCAGGCTCCCGGGGAGGGGGATACGGCCGCCTCGCGCGCACTCCGCCACCCGCGCAGCGGAGACCGGCGGCGGGAAGCGCGAGCCGTGGGGGCCCCGTCAGTCGCGACGCGCTCCTCACGCGGTGCAGATCGTTCGACAGCCGCTCGCGAGACGCCCGCTCCTCTCACGCGGACGCCGCGCCGAGGTCGACGCCGAGGTAGAGACCGCCGAGGCCGCGGAGGACGCGAGGCAGGCGCTGACGGGCATAGAGGACGTAGCGGTAAATAGCGCGGGGAGCGGCTGGAGTGGAGCGAGGCTCCAAGGCGCCGGGACCGGCAGCGACCGGCCGGCCCGGGCACGTGCTCGGGCTGCCTCGCAGAGGAGGAGGAGGACGCGCGAGGGGTTGTGCTGTGCGCGATCCGAACCGAGTGACTGAGGACGCGGTGCGCGCGGTGTTACAGATGATGCCCGGGTTGCTGCAGTGATCGCGGGCGCCGGCTTCAATCGACAGTTGAGGGCTGAGACGAGCGAGAGAGTGCCGAAGGAGGAACGAGAGAGGGACGAGAGAGAGCGAGAAAGAGAGAGAGAGAGAGAGAGGGGCGAGAGAGATAGAGAGAGAGAGAGAGAGAGAACAAGAGAGAGAGAGAGGGGGATACAGAGAGAGAGAGAGAGAGAGAGAGAGAGAGAGCAAGCTGGACGCGGACGACCTGGAGGACGAGGCCGACACCATGACGCAGCAGAGCGGCGCCGGCTCGCCCCAGCAGTTCTGCCTGCGCTGGAATAATTACCAGACCAACCTGACCAACGTGTTTGACCAGCTGCTCCAGAGCGAGAGCTTCGTCGACGTGACGCTCGCCTGCGACGGACACTCGGTCAAGGCCCACAAGATGGTCCTCTCGGCCTGCAGCCCCTACTTCCAAACCCTCTTCTTCGACAACCCTTGCCAACACCCGATCGTCATCATGAAGGACATAAAGTGGCCGGAGCTCAAGGCCGCGGTCGAGTTCATGTACAAGGGCGAGATAAACGTATCGCAGGAACAGATCGGACCGCTCCTCAAGGTCGCGGAGAGCCTCAAAATCCGCGGGCTCGCCGACGTGAATAGCGAGCACGAGCTGACCTCGCGGCCGAGCCTCGAGGATTCGCTCAATCTCGCGGGTGACCTTCAGCGTAAGAAGCGGCGCCTGGCTTCGGCCGAGCGCTCGCCGACCGCGAGCCACGGCAGTCCGGAGCGTATCGCCTCGGACGAGCACGACTCGGCGAGCACCGGCCAGGAGAGCCACGGCCTCGGCTCCTCCTCGACGCCGCGCTCCCTCGGCTCGCCCAGTGTGCCCAGCATCAGCGTCACGCCCCAGATAAACCTGCAGGAGCTGCCCGTGAGCCTGCCCCTACCGCCACCGCCGCCCCTGCCCCCGCCACCAAGCGGACAGAGCGGGGCGCATCCCTCGCTCGTCGGGCACCACGTGTCCGCGGGCCACGTGAGCGCCGGCCCGCACGCGGCCGTCAACCACCTGGGCGGCCACGCGGTCACGCCGCAACAGCAACAGCAACAACAACAACAACAACAACAACAACACGGACAATCCCACGGGCAGCAGCAGCAGCAGCAGCAGCAGCAGCAGCAACAGCAACAGCAACAGCAACAGCAACAACAGCAGCAACAGCAGCAGCAGCACCTGCAAGCCGGACAGCCCCCTTTGGGGGAGGACCCGGACTTGAAGCCCGGCATCGCCGAGCTCATTCGCGAGGAGGAAAGGGTGAGTGTCTCACACGTTGAGCTTTGATTGACTCTTGAGCGTACGGGGATTTATGGCCTTGGATCGTCGTCGTCGTCGTCGTCGTCCAATTCGCCAACCCCTGCCCCTTCCCGAATCACATTACGAAAAATCACTGAACCCCGTGGACATTAAAAGGATAATGTGACGACGGGAGTCGCACGGGTCCGCGCGTGGATACCTCTGCGACCGCCTCTACTCGAATTGTCCCGCGTGTCAGTCAGGTGGTCCGTTGGCCTCACCGGCGTCTGTGTAAAATTTCGTGAAAAGTTATCATAAAAGAAAAAAACGAAAAAAAAAAAAAAAAAAAAAAAAAAAAACAAGAGAGAGAAAAAAAATGAATAAGAAAATGAAAAGTGGAGATGAAATAAGAAGACATTTATTATGTATTGGAGAGGATGTTAACGGGCGCGCTCGCTTCCTCGAACGAAAGGGCGGATAATTGCGCATCTTCGTCCCCAGTAATATAAATTAAATTAAATTGCTCGAGCAGCAGGCAGAGGGAGATGAGAATGACTGTATAGATGTATAGACGAGCGGGAGAGGTTGGGATAGGTCGGAATGATGGGATAGGAGAGAATGAGCGAAGGATAGAATATGATAGGAAAATAAGAAAAGAGAAGGGTAGGTAGGATTGGCTAGGAGTTTAGTTGATGATCTATCGATGGGGATAGTGGCGGTAGGGTTGTGGGGGTGATGGTGGTGTCGTGGCGGGAACGGTGCGCAACTTGGCTGCCGCTGGTCCGCAATCAGAGCCCACATCCGGGATAGTGCCTGCTGGCACGTGTACTCATTACGTGGCGCGGGTGCAACGAGGAGGTAGGATTAAGAAAAAAAAAAAAAGAAAGAAAGAAAGGAAAAAAAGTCTAACCTTCCCTCGGAGTTACACGGTTTTGGCAATAAAGAAATCGATTCGTCAGCTCCACGCAGTCATTGGGGTGGTCGAGGCTAAGTTGCGCGGGAGCGGCACCCGCAGGTGGGTACGGTGGACGCGAGGCGCGCGTCCGAACGACCACAGAAGGTGGTGGTTCTGGAGGAGGGGCTGGTGCAGACGAGGCGGCGGAAGATGAGAAGTAGGAGGGGTGTACGTGGTGGATGAGAGGATGAAAGGATGATGATGAGGATGAGGATGAGGATGAGGATGATGAGGAGGATGAGGAGGAGGAGAAGAGTCGCGAGACAGTAAATCGTAAATTGTAATGGCCAGGAGCCATTTATCCTGATACACCGGATGTGACTTCATATTTCCTTCGTTCTCGTTTAAATTAGTGTTTTTATCTCTGAGGCTGTCTGAACTGGAACTGCATTGGCCCGAGCACCCGCGAACAACAAACGACCTTCGGACGTCGAAGGCTATCGGCGGCCGATGTGGCCAACCCCCGCGGATTTCATCGTTGCGCGTCGATCGGTAGAATCGCGCAAACGCCGCGGCGTACCTAAGCCATTTATCGGGAAGATCTATCTGGATGTGCCACTGCCACCTCCCCCCCCCCTCCACGGCGGGAGGGGGGCAAATTGACGAGTTTGATATATTGGAATGACGGTCAGTCGGGCATCGTTGTCACAAAGTCCCTTAGTCGTTTGGTCGAGCGATGGAGGCTTCGGGCGAGCCCGGGAAGTGGGGAGGCCGAGTTACCGGTGCGTTGGTTCCTTCGAAAAGTCACGGGGACGAAGGCACACGAGTTCGATCGAAGTTGGGCCAATTTCGGTAAAACCATTAAATACTTAATGAGCTTTCGTCGAATAAAAAACATTAACGTTTCACCAAATATTCTCTACAGTCATGCTAACTAAACACATTTTTCGCCTCGACTTCTCCCCACCCTCCCACGCTCTCGCTCGGCATTTCGTTTCGCGCGTATAAAATTATTATTTGCAACAACTGCTCTTTTTTAACGTCATTTATAATAAAGTTTAATTATGAAATGTGTTCTCGATCCAATTTTCCAGCTTTAAAATTAGCCATTTATTATTATTTTATTATTAGCTGCATTATGCTGGCTCGTAATTACATTTTGTTTACAAATGTACATTGAGCTGTCATTCTTTTCTACTCATCTATCTCATCTAGCTTAGCGTCTAATATATCTCGTCCCTTCGTTACCAACGATTCGCAAAGAAAGCAAAGAGAGAGAGAGAGAGAGAGAGAGAGAGAGAGAGAGAGAAAGGAAGAGGAAGCGGAAGAAAAGAGACGGAAAAGGCAAATATTTTTAAACTACGAAAGATCTCACAAAACACAACGCGACGATAAATTGTTTCTTCATTTTGCTTGAATTCTGTTGTATTTCTTTCCTTCCTATCATTTCGAATTTCTTTTCTTTTATCTTTTCCTTTTTCCCTTCCATTAGTTGTCGCCGTAATAATGCCACGGGTTCTATTAATAAAATATACATTATTAAAGCGATCTGCATAGCGTTACAAAATCGGCAATTACATTACGTAATAATTTCAACTGGAATTAGACTGTCTAAAGAAGAATTACAAATAAATATACAATTCCTACAATGTGAGAATTAATTCATAGGAAATTGCTGTCTTACGTAAATGTAAATCCTTATATTCAAACATTATATGCAAAAGAAACTTGCCAGGAATTTTAGTTATAATTTAATACTTTAATTTCGTAACAGGAAAAATATCATAAGTAATAGGCAACATTTTTTTAGATTAAATATTAAGAATTTCCATCCAAGAAATCTCCACAAGAAGAATGTTTTCAAACCTAATTAAATTCTTGTTTCTTCAAATTATTTATCTTAAAGTAGAATAATGCACTCACTCTTTTAAAATAATGTTATTTAATTCTCTCATTCGCTTCATATTTTGATAAAATGTTAAGCCACCATTGCAAATAAACTCAACGTTATTATACTAAATATTATTCGAAACTTATTTCTTATTTAAAATGTTGTAAATCTCATTAAGTTACTCTCTCGTAAATTGCGCATTCCTTCTTCCTTCTTTAATCTCTTGGCTTCATCATTTAGAATTAGCAATCTTTTTTTTCTCTCTCTCTCTCTCTCTCTCTCTCTCTGTATTATTTATTTATTTTTGTTTATTAATTTATTTATTTATTTATTTATTTATTTTTTGTTCATTGCAATCACTCGTTGTTATATGATTTTTAAAAACGGGGAAATATGATTAAATAGCTTTTATCGTGGACGGCGATTAAACGACGATATTTATGAATCGGAACTAATTTGCTTATCAATTAAAGCCATTCTACAATAATATTTTCCCCCGTCTTGTGCATAAATTGAATTGTACGACAAACATTTGCTCTTAGCCAGAGGCGATTACCAAAATCGTCAAAATCATTAAATGAGAAAAAAGGATTTTTGGAATGTCCAGGGCTCGCTTGGCCTAACGTAACTTCAATGCGAAAATAATGGCAACTTGGAAAGTCTGACCTGAATACTTCAACGAGCACTGTTTAACGACAAGACGCAAAAAGCAATAATTCGCACGAAGCCACCCTGTGCTTACAGAAATCATGTCGACTCGACGGCCGTTTAACCGTTCAGCATCGCCGCTTCCAGGAGTCGATTTATTCAAATAGCAACTAATTGCGGGACTCGTGACAATTTGGGATATTTTGGTCGATCGAAGGACGCACGGCGGCTTGATCTGTGATCGCCGGGTCGAGATGCTCGAGGACGAACGAATTTAAGGCGAGCTAGAGGATACTTCTAGTGAAAGAGGGACTTAATCGGCTATTAGATCGGGATTCGAAGAGGTCCCTTAATACCGAAGACGAGGAGTACCCATTACACTCCTCCCCCATCCCCCTCCCCCATCCTCCTCCCTCGAGTCATCACGGTATATTTTAATAAAGAGCGCGAATGAAAGCGACGACGGTGGTGACGATGTCGGTTACGACGGCGCAGTAGCGGTTCACCACGACTCGCGCATTCCCGCGCTTAATGCCAGGTCATTTAAATATTTCGAAAATTGCCTTTTCCTAGGATACTCGCCCCATAAAAGGCTAATACTCGTAATATAATACGCCGCTTAACTTCTTTTCCTTTTCAAAGTTCGTCCCTTCTCCCTGCCAATCCTGGCCATTCAGCTCCCGCTTCTGGCGCCTCTCCCGCTCCACTCCCTATACCTCTCCTCCATCGGCCACGGACAATCTTGCCGTGGTTCCCATCTCGCTCGTCCGTATTGTTCCTTTTTCTCCTGCCTTCGGCTCGAGCTCGACCGACCACCTCTCGGCCCTCATTACTAATTCCCATTTCGATCGAGGGATCGCGAGATTTACCGCCGGTAGTTTGCGGGTGGATGGGTGGGGCCATGGGCTCGTACCCCCCACCATCCGTCAAAGTCCACGCGGCGCGCGGGGCTACCTTAGTGGCTGCTAAATTTTCCATTTTCAAAATGGCATGACGGACATGCGGAGGCGTCAGGCCGCGCGCCCGGTAAATCAGAAATTATCTTGTCGCGTCCGCGGCGGCTGCCTTTTCCCATCGAAACGCGCATAAATACCGAGCTCTAGCCGGCGCGATATTACGCACCCGCGGTTTGATCGACGGATGACCGGGCCATTCCGCAGATTGCTTCGGCTCCCTCGACAAGGAGATTTATACCGTAGAAGGCCGTAGGACGCGGGGTTAGCGCCCGGACGCGGAGACGCCGCGACGACGCATCTTCCGCGCGCCGGATAAGCCGAGAGAGAGCGTGTCTGTGTGTATGCGCGCGTTTGTGTGTGAAAGAGAGGAAAAACGGCAGCGTGACTCACGGGACTTTTAATTTCGCAGCGAATCGATCACGTAGGGGGGGGGTGTCGGCTAATTGGCTCAGGCGACTCGCGATTTAGATGCCGGGGGCATTGATTACTTTATTCGAAACTGTCCCGATTGGGGGCTCCGATTGATCGCGAAGGCCTCTCGACCAGTCACAGCTTGCGAGATGAATCCTTACGGCCGCGCTCAGAGCTTAGAGGGATGTTGAGTGGACCGGCTGGACACGTTGGGCGGCTC